GTTCGGCGCCTGGCGTGTTCCTTATTTCGAGAGAATCGCATTCGATGCTTCATGAGCTCGCCCGGTCGCGTCGTCTGCTCGAAAGCGTTTCGGGGAATCCCCCCCCCCCCCCCATCCCCCCGCTGGTAGGACTGGGATGTACTATTCATTCCCCCAGCAGGGATCGTGTTTCACAAAGAGACATTATTCCCAAATATTGAGGAAAGGTTTTCATTGGGAAATGATGAAGAGAGGAATTAATGGAGACATTCTAGTTCATTCATTCCCAATCCTGTGACGGCAGGGGATTTTTATTTTCCCGATCCTTACGTCTTCTCATCGTCTCGACGTTTTCTTGAAGAAGACGAGACGAGGTGAATAATTTTCAATAAAAACCAACCACTCTTTCCTCTTCTCTCTGGGGGACTAATTCCCGCAAACATGACGCATACAGCAGACTATCAGACGAACCCTTCTGCCAGCAAAGGTATGACGTCAGCAGGTTTTTTTTTTGGCAGCATCTGATTCCTGGGTCATGACATCCTTGACGTCACCTCAAGTCACGACTCATCTTAATCGGATAGTTCAAGATGAAACACAGACCAGGTAAGACCGGTGTAATGAGATCTTAATCTGGAGGTGAAGGCGATTCACGTCTTGGATAAACGGCGCCTGAGAACAATCAGCAGACAAAATGAACTTTTCCGTCCTCATGGCGTCCAACGTCCATTCGAGTTTGCCCGATTCCCCATTGAATTGCGACCGTGTAGGAGAATGGGATTGGCTACATGAGATTGAACGAGGCTGCAGACGTTGGAATTTTGCGAGAGTGCCAGTAGGAAAAAAAAAATAGCGGTATTAAAGTGATTGTGGCTCGCATCGAGATGAGGCAAATTTGTCATGACAGACAAGAACATGACTGGCACTCCTCAAATCGCATGGAGGATCCATTAGGGAAATGAAGTTGCAGCGTTCCTCGATTTTATTCGCACTTTTCGGGGTCCGAAAGGGTTGCTTGACGTTCATTCGTCTCGTTGAGAATTTCAATAGCGTTTATAATATTTTACAGAAGGCGACTTCGTGAATATACAGTAGAAGCCTCCAAGGCGTCAAAGCCTTTCCTCGTCGACGAAGTGAAAAATTCAATGATCGACGATACAAATCCTGGCCGGCGGGCTTGGGGAAATCTTTGTTTGCCTTTATTATGGTAATCTTTATTTGTCTATCTTCGCTCTGGCGTCATGATCGGCTGCTGCTGCGTTCGATCGAGTTCCTGCTGGCAGGGTTGGGTAACGAAATCGATTTCGTTTCGTTTATATTTCTGTTTCGTTTCTTCTTCGTTTCTGTTGCGTTTCTGTTTCTATTCTGTTACTATTAATATTTATCATTTTCATTTCTTTTTATTTCTGATCCTCTCAGTAAGTTTGCAAAATGGCAATAAACTCACCAGTTGAGTCTCAAAATGTGCTTGCTCAGGCCAAATCGCTCCCAATTGTTAAGCACCAGAAGGATGTCGTTGATTGATGTCACATACAGGCTTGAATGCTTGGAGCCCAGAACGATCTGGAATTTGGGTTCTGGGGAAGATGATGACACAAGCAATTTTCCTTTAATCAAAGAGACGTCTGCCTTTTTTCTGCCACCATTCTCTCCATTATTCCTCTCTCATCAGCAGTGAAGCCTGAAACAATCTTCATCTGCAAATGTTTCTGGAAAATGTCAGATACTGAGATCAGTTTTTCGCTTTTTTTTCCATTCAGCTCTTTCGCAGTTGCCATAGTAGCGTAGGCCCATTCGCCGACGTCAGCCTGGGTCGGTGTGTCGTGTAACTGACCAGGACTGCCTTTTTAACAGTCGCGCTTGACAGACCAATTGTTAAATATGGAAGAGAGGCTGCAAGTATGAACAGAGTTCCTAGCCGTTGTCGCCCTATCCCGGTCGGCAAAACAACGTTGCGTCAACGTTGAGCAAGGATTGCTTTTTTTGACGCAGCAATTTTGTAACGTTGCGTAAAAGGTGTGATATGCTACCACAATGCTGAAATGAGACACAGTTGAGCATTTGCGCTCAAGCATGCCCGTGAAAGTACGCGAATGTGTCGCACTGTTACAGCGTTTAACCATCAATGTCTTGGCCTGCGCACTTTCTCAGTATTGAATATTTTATGATAAGCAATAGTGATCTCGTATCGTGAAATGTTTTTATACCTCTCAATTTCAAGGTAGGCGAGCAAATACTTCCATCCGTGGTTGATTCCAAGGGAAGCTGGAACTTCCTTACAGGATTAAAATCTTAGTTGTAATAGTAATAACGTACCACGTTCTGTCCAGCGACGATGCAAAGTGTCTGATATCATCTTTTGGGCAATTTCCCTCCTTTGCTGGGGAAGAGACGGACTTAACCTCTAAAGCAGGGTTGCACAACCTCATTTGGCGAGATCATCCTGCTTCCTCCGATATCCGGCCAGCGATGAGTACCCAACAGTCGCTTTTTGGCCGTTGGGAAAAAAAGTGTGGGCATCCCTGCTCTGAAGCAAATTGAGAAGTCTCCGTCATCACCAAGAGGTATTATAAAGACATGGAATGAAGTTTGGAATCTTTAGAATGCTCCCTCGAAACATACAATTGGAGTCTGCTTCCGCATGATTACCTTTTCAAACGAATATATTAAGGAACTTCAAAGTCTTCCTCTAAGTTGTATGTGGGAATAGATAGGGTATCCTATTGAAAATATTATAAACTTATTCCAGTGACATCAGGGATGGAATCGCTAAGTCGACAGTTATATGGGCGCCATCTCGCGTCGGTTGCTAGAACCTATTTCATATTATGTAGGAATTCCACATTTCAACAATATCGATATTGCTTGAGACTACGTGGACGAAACCATGTGAAAATATCGTTCAGCTTATGATGAAGGCAAATTTAAAAACAAATTAGCGCTTAATAGCCTCCAAACGACTTCTCTGGCCCATGAATTGTCTAGATCTAAATGTTAAAAAAGGAAATCACGAATCATTTATTAGCTCTTGATTCTACGTCGATATGTCGACTTCAACCATATCTCAACTGTCGATTTCGACACGGCATCGATACTATGTCTGGTTTTTATCCTTCCGTTACCCATGTTAAGTCCACGAATACTTTGAGAGAGTTGAAATCGACGTCTCCGAATACCATCCTAACCATGGAAGTTGACCTGCTTTGATCAAGTTTCCTCTTCTTCGCCATGGCGCTTCCCTTGCGTCTACTGCCCGATGAAAATTTGTTTTTCATTCCATCAGTCCGCAGATGCCAAAGCGAACGTGGCAGTCAGGGTGATCCCTTCTACTGCATTTCGAGAAGCAATTTAAGCTTCCCTGTTAATGGTGGTAGCATTCGTTTGCGAAGGCGCGTTAATAGTAACCTATGAAATATTGACCAGTGAAATGGCTAGTCAGTGACTCAGTTGGTACTCCAGTTAAATTTGAACTCATTCGCTGGTCTGGAGTTTGACGTTCGGTTGGTTGGGGGGGGAAGAAAACTTGAGGAGGAAAAGCACAATCGAATATCGTTAATATCATCATCAAGATTTCGTTTCCATTTCGTTTCTATTTTGTTTCTGTTTTGTTTCTGTTTCGTCACCCAGCCCTGCCTGCTGGAAGCTGAAAGTCGGAGAGATGCAGAATTGCATCGACACGATCTTGTGCATTGTAAGTTGCCAAAATTAAAATGCGTCGCGGAAAATGGAGCATGCCGTGACGAGTAGAAGCGAACGAGACTCGAAACGGCCAGATGTCACAGCTGTACCAGGCGCGGCTCCGGTTCTTCTGGCGTTTCCGAGGCGTTTTTTGCTCGATTCCAGATGCTGGCTGCATGCGGCGTCTTCATTAATCTCGTCGGCAGTCGTCGATGTGTCAGGTCGTGGAGGCTGAAAGCCTCGATCGAGAACAGATGCAGATAGTATATAGGTCTTCATTTCCACGACGGACTCGAACGTGCCGTGAGATTCGAAATCGCTTTTGCGACGAATTTCTTCCCGGTTTCAGGGATCCTCGGCATGGTAAAGCATTGCAACGTTCAGTGTATCGGAAAAGTCTCACTCGTGTATGAGATGCATCATTTTGCCGTTCCAAGAGGAAAGCCCATGAAAATGATCTGCATCGGGGAGCTCCCAGCGCAGGGGTGTGCAATTTTTCTTGGCAGCGGCCCGCTGCCAAGAAAAATGAAAACGTTTGACTACACGCGGACCATCGAATGCAAAGCAAGAGGTTCCCTTCATACGTCCTCATATGATGTGCAGTGTGGCGTGTGACTCGAAGGTCGCGTTGATTGACCGACGACCCTCACCTTATACGACTCCGCGGGAATGAGGATTAATCAAGGGAAAGAAATGAGAGGACTCATTGTCTTTTTTAAAACTAATTACTAAAGGATGCCCGAAGTTTGATGGGCCGCGGGTCACGAAAGGAAGTTAATGTTTTCCTTGTCTTTCCCTCCCCTCATCGTGCGCAGAAAGCAATTGAGGATTCGAAAATCAATCTGAATTACATAATTCGGGAGCCACGTCGAACGTGCGAGGCCGCGGAGCAGGGCGTTTGCGCGCAAACGGGCAATCGAGTTCGCTTCTTTCCTCCTGCACGATTTTCCTGGTGGGAGGATATAATTCCATTCCATTCCACTCCCGCTGTTGAATAGGGAAGGTAAAATTGTGCGTTTCGTGGAATGCCATTCCCGCCGGGGAAAACAAAATGAAAGTTGAAAGTGTTCCTCGAAAAAGTCCTTGTCCCGGTCCGTACTTTGTCGATCGGTGCAAATTGTGCGAAGCTTCCAGTGGCAATATCGCTGGCACACGATTGCTTTAATGCACGATGCATCTCATCGCTAGCACATATCTCGTCCCGGTTTTGCAAAGGGCCCCGCAAAGCAGTCTCACGCCTTGCCCATGACGACCTGTACCGTTGGCGTCGTGTTGGCTATCGATCGCTTTTGGTATTCATAATCTAACACGAAGGTTGCCAAAGAGGATAACTACAACGGTGACGTCAAGTAGGAGATTTATCCTGACTGCGGGCTGTCAATAGTAACCATGGAAACCAATTTGTTGTCAATTATGACTAATGGTGACATGAAAAAATTATTGCAACGAGAGAGAGTGAGAACGAGGTTGATTTGTCGGGTGCATCGGATTATCGGATGCGATTAGGTGAACGGCCGAGTTGGCTAAAATTGTGCGACTGCGAGTGGCGTCTTGGGTTTTCATAGTTCGGAATACGAGCGAGACTCGAAATGTTCCTTCATATTTGTCTGCGTGATTAAAGTGAAAATCTTGACTCGTTTTTACTCTGTCTTTAGGTTTATTGTATTCCATTCCATGCACTCCATGCAAGGGAGTGAGCGATACTGAGAGTCCACCTGAAGCGAAGCAAGAAGAATCAGCCATCAACAGGAGCGAACATATAAAATAATGCTACGAAATAAATAAATAAATAATATATATAATAATATTAGTAATAATAATAAACAGAATGTGAAAGGAAAAGGGAAAACGGAGAATCAGGTTCAGATTGAAAATTCGATGACCAGGCACGGGAAGAGACTCTCGCGTCCAGACACGACGTTTATTTTGAACGAAACAAGAAAATACGTCCAAATGTCACGATCGGCAAAACGGTGACTAAACCCCTTTCCGGGAAGGGGAGGCATCTCAACACTCTATTATTTCAACGGAACGGTGGGATCGGGATCTCTCTCACTCTCTCTCGCCGGACAGGGGGCAATGACGGATGCGACAGCTAGAACTGAGTGAAGGGAATCAATCCTGGAGGTCGTCGTAGAGTTTCCTGGAGAGGATCGTCCTGTAGAGAGGCAGGGGGATGCGGGATTCCTCCAGGTCCATCGGCTCGACGGCGAAGTCGGATCCTAGGTTCCCTCGCTTCCCGAATCTGGAATCGCGGAGAGGAGGAATTAAGAGTGGGTTCGGGTGGGCGGGGAAACATCGCGAACATCGTTTTTAAACGTTGTGGGTTTTTTTTTTTGTCGCACGTTCGTGTTTGATATTTTTCGATCGAGTTCGCATCTTCAGGGATTTCTCCGTTCGTGCTTTGTAGATTATTATAATCTGACGATGGTCCCTGGGGTTTTGTGCGAGATGAATGGGGGCAGGGACAGGGGGGAGATCCCTTTCTTTGTTTTCTTCCGCCTTCATTAGACTCTAGAGAAGAAATAAATGAGGCGAAATGAAGAGAGCGGATGAAGTCTTCTGTTTGCTTTGACTTCATCACCACCAATTGGAGAGTCGAGCCCTAACAAATATTATATACCTTCCCAGTGTGCTTACCAATCATATTATTCATGCTTTACGCATTCGTCTTGGCACCGCATCCATCTCAGTCACGATATTTATAGTTTTTTTTCCCCCACAACTTGTATGAACTCAAAAAGCAATAAACAAGTCGCTGGCTCCCTTTTTTCTGTTCCGGGACTTTGGTTCTTCTGACGAATGGCCCTCGGAATCGCATTCAATAAATTGATGCATCAATTCACTCTCATCTGAGCTAATTAGATCGTGTGCCATGGGATCTTGAGTTTGGGCGAAAGCCAGTCATCTTGACTTAGCACAAGGGAAGCTGTGACGTCAAAGGAATCCAGAGATGGTTCAGTGAATTTGAGGGCCTTTAAGGGCCTTTGAAGGTCTTTGAAGAAGAGGGCCGAGATGAAAGTAGCCGGTGAGAAAACAGTTGCGGCTGCTCTGGGACTGCCGAAGGGGAAGCCTTCTCTTCTAACGAGGCAATTACTTAGGCTCTCGATCGAGGAGGTTGGGCGCGGTCGCGCGGGTCACGCGTTGCATCTCGCGCGTTGTGGGGTGGCATCAGCTGTTTGTCAGATGGCATTTGTTTCTATGATAGAGTCGGCATTCTACTGCAGAAAGTTGGGTACAAGCGGCAGGATTCCGCCTTCTCCATGCACGGCCGCATGACATCTCGGTGCGCGCTGATTGCATTTCGAGTTCGATGATGCTATTAATCAACGCGCAAGGTGCACCTAATCAGGCTTGGCGTGACACCCCGAGATCAGTTTCCCGATTGGACAGGATGAGAAGTCTCGGCGCATCACGAAGCCAGCTTCTGCCAGATGTCGTGTCGTTTCCTTCCTTGTCTGTCGCTTTCCTTGCTCGAAATGGAAAGAGGGTAGGCGGGCTCGGGAGTCCTCGAAACGGGGTAATTAAGGTAATTAATGAGATGAAGGTGCACGCGGTCCCGCAGGAGGGGAAATTTCCTGCTTTTCTAGGTTTTCTGTTGCAGTCGCGGAATGAGAGAGCTCTCACGATGTCCATTTGGTACGAAAAAAGCGCTTGCAGCGAACATGATCAATCTTCATAACCTAATGATAAGGCTTGATCATCTTGCTTTTAAAAGGTTGTGCGCACTGCGGTATTCTCTGTGATGCGTTCTCAGCGTGGGGACTTGAAGCCAATTTTTTTTCTTTTTTTAAATTTATACTGTTATTCTTTTGTGATGTTAACGTTTAACTATCGCTGTTCTCTTAGGGGCATTTTGCTAATTAATATTTGGTCTTGATATGCTCTTTACAGTGTGGTGTTCGCGATATTTCTATAATTCAATGCTGCGCCCACTGGTTTAATTGCAAAAGTGAGGCCGTGTACATGGGATTTAAAAGTCTACCATTTCAGATTTCCATTATAGAGCTCGTCCTATCTCGCTTTACGGATTCAATTGAATTCACAAATCAGAAACCGTTGTATTTTAAGATTGGCGGATTGAATGCAGATTGGAGCATTTTTACGGAGCAACCTCATTGCATGTTGAGAGTCCCTTCAAACGTGGATATTGCTGCAATGCAAACTGAGAACGTTCTATATGCGGGATCCCTATATATAAATTCGATATGTGTGCTCGGTCAGATACGATCGTATAAACAATTATAAGCTTGATTGAATATTCAATAATAGAAATATCTCGTGGCCTAAATAAGGCGAATTGACCCCACGGTCGAGAACGAAGGGAAAATCGTTCGATCGGGCAGAGGAGAACGAAACAAAATGGTGCCAACCTGGGCTTCTGCCTCAGTGCGATCTCGTCGAGCAGTCCTTTGAGGAGTTCCTGAAACTGTTCCGGTCGCCGAATCTCCCGGATGGTCCGGAACTGGGGAGCGATTTGGGGTTCGCTCCTGCAGTATTCCAGGACTCCAAGGGAGCAGAAGAGCAGGGCTGCCATCATCATCTGCTGGGCCATCGTTTGGTTGTTCCTCCTGTTGCGGGCTCCTCACTAGAGACGGTTGAAGAAAGTTCGTTTTAATGCGGTTCGGGCCTTACTTTGGTGCCTGCCGTGCTCCAAGTGACTCTGTTATAGGTATGCTCGCGTTTGTTTGCTTAGGTTCTGGATTTTTTTTTTTACTCGGAGAGTCGCTTTTGTCGCTTGCATTGCTATGTCTTAGTCATTGTCCTTTTTTTTTTAGCTTGGGTTTACTTATTGCATGGTTGTCAAGGATTAGTACTTTCCCAGCAATTTTTTTTGTCTTTTCAGTTCTCTGCTACAGTATTGGTTTGAAATCATCACATTTTGGGTGCTTAATTTATTTAAGGAAGACGCAGTACTCTATTTTGCCCTGTTTTCATTTTTTTAATGGTATGTTATTATAATCTCATTGAAAAGTCAAAAGGGGGCGTTAATGCAGGTTTTCCAAGTCAAAAATGGAAATAAGAAAGTCAAATACGACAAAGAAAATCCAAATGCGTCTCTGCGCTGGATGTCGGACCTCAGCACCAAAAGCACTGGACCAAAGCACGTTAGACACGAGGAAAGTGCGACTGGTGCACGAGCTTTACCATGCCCGTGCCAGGGGAATGCTGTCTCCTTGCATTTTCACGACGTGCGACTCCAGATGCATTTGCATCTGATTGCGATTCCAACGACTGTTGGAATCCGGTTGCTTACCGTTGAAGAGCAGCAACGTTATTACCGTAATTGGGATTGTTAACGTCAAATCGGAAGTGGAAGTCAATTAACAGCTTCTGGTTCCTACTCTGCAGATGTTATTCTGAAGCATATCGATCCAAGATTCTGCTAGGAAAATATCTCTACTTTCAGATATATCAATACATCGCCTTTCTTGACATGTTGATTCAAAGATTCTGGAGTTGCATGTCGGAAAGCATGTTTGTACTGTATTCAACTCGTTTACTTTTTGTCCACGAAATGAGTGGGAGCGCCATTATGGATGGAATAAAAATTGTCAAGGGCCCTTTTCGAATTGAATTTCCTGGAAACTATTTCGCATCGAAAATCGCGCAATGTGCACATGAAATGCTACTGGATGTCTGTAAGAAATGACTCCTTGGGAGCCTTTTGTCAGGAAAATAATGTCACGGGGAATGAGCATCTTAGCGTTTCTTCTGTCCCCTGATGGAAAAATCTAATGGATATTACGCGGTATTATACGAAGGTATTATCATTCACCCGGGACATACGAAATCCATTAATACATCTTTTGTCATGCTGGAATATGATGGAGGCTTCCGTGGGTTCATTCCTGTAAAGAGCTTTCATAATTCGATTACTGCAAGACCTTCTAATCGGAAATGGAGAAAAATGTACGAGTGCCTCTGCCTCTCCATTCCCAAGGAAAAAAAAAAAATCCCAGATTGATATCGGCTTTGCCACCGTGGAGACGACCATGACAAAGCAACTGTCAAAATCAGCTGTGTCAAAGGGAGGTTGCATGTGGGGTGCAAAGAGAGGTTGCAGCGAGTCTCGACGTTTTCTTGTGATTTGCAAAAATATGTTTTTTTTTTTTGGAGTGTGGACCGAGGGAAGCCGTCAAGGGATAAGAGCCTGAATGTTTCATCAGCTCCCACTGAAAAATTCATGAGCTCCTTTTATATGTTATGATGACTGCATGCATATGTCCGAGTCGCCGGAGATGTTCCTTTCACGTCTTATTTACATATATCAAACCCAATGAGAATATATTTCAAAGAAGCCTCGGAGGCGGAAGGAATTCGGAATTCAAACCGGACGTCGCCCTTTGTGAACGTCGAATATCGCAATTCAAGCGAAATTTGACGGGAAAAGAGGGAAACCATAACTCCGAATTTCTCCCTCTCCATATCTGCATTATGGATAAGACGTGTTTAATTCCGAGCGGCTGGATCCATGGCGACAAAAGACGCGTGGGAGGCCTCGTCCCCCTCCTCAACGCTGATAAAAGGATGATTAGAAACGAGGGGGGAGGAAGACCCATAGAGAAAACATTCCCCGGCCTCTTTCACTCCTTCTCCCATTCATCGCCTCTCTCTTGTATCTTTACTCCGGCTTTTCCCACTCAGAGAATTCCAGTAATTTGGGGAATCTTTTTTGCTCGGCGGGAGACGGTATGGAAATGGGACGCCAGATGTAATCGGTTTTCCCAGTGACGTCGACGCAAATTCGACTTCAGATTCGCGAATCGACATGGCTTCAGCTATTTTCAAATAACTGTGGGGCTCTGCGGAGCCGCGAGAGGCGATTAATGAAGCATCTGCGATGACGTCATACGACGTGTCAAGAAGGGTGTCACCTTATTTAATTCTCATGGGTGTCAAATTACGGTCGGATACTGAGAATTGATAAAAGAGAACTGCGAAGTCGAAGGTGGCTCGACGAGGTGGCTGAAAATTTCATTTTGGACGTTTTATTGCATATAAATTCTCATAAAAAACTAAAATGCTGTGGGTTCTTCCGTTATGTGGGTCAGTTTTTATGTTAATCTTGGCTATCCTCTTGGAGGTTTTATGGACCTGCTCAAGATTCCGTCACCGGCATTCTATTGCCACAAGGAAAGGTGCGAATGCGTAAATAATTGATCTGACGTTTCATGTGGGAGCAAATAGAGAGAAACGAGGCGTGAGGAGTGAAGAGGGAAGCCCTTGTCGCGTCCTCGTGCATTATGAAGGAAGGCCTCATCGCGTCTCATGCGAGACGGAATGATGGCTTTAAAATGGCCGTTTAAATAGGGGGAGGATGGGCCGAGATTTCTCGCTCGCTATGCACGACTTGAAATTGCAGGAAGAAGGGGTTCTTGAAAAAGCAATTTTTCGTTCTCCGCGCGCCCTCAACGCTTTATTTGCTTCAGCTACCATCATTAATAACAAGAAAAATCAATGCTCTCGCCCCCGCATGTCGATTTAGGCACTGCCAGCCGTTCAAATATAAGCGTAGCAGTGAGTGATATGGTCCGAGAAAGAGCGATGAAACGAAATCTTTTTCGTTTTACCCAATAATAAAAAACGAAAGTTTTTTATTATTGGGTAAAATGTGATATTTTTTCGCCCGCAAAACGCCGAAATGCATCGCAGTGCAGCTCGTAATCGTGGTTTTCAGCCCGATCAGAAAAAAAAACAGCGAGTATAGGGAGAAACCGTGGAAATGAACACATATAATTCTGCATTCAAAATGGCGAATGGAGGTACGAATGGTAAATTACGGCATAGAAACCTTGACATTCGAAACAACGCGGGAATTCATAAAATTTCCAAATTTCCAAATTTTATCGCCACGGCGTCAGCAGCAAACCTTATACATTTTTTTTTTTTAGCCGCGCACATAACCGCAGCGAAGAGAGCTGGGGGTGTTCGCCGAATCGATCGGAACCTGAAATGGGGGGAAGAGGGGGGGTGGGGGGGAGCTTACCTGAGTGATTCTCATTACTCGCGGTGTTGACCCAGGGCTTCAGGGTCTTTCGCATTCCATTGTGCCGGTCTTGTCCCACGCAAATGGTGCGGGGCAAAAAAGGGTGAAAAAAGGGTGAATCATTTATCGTCTCGAGGTTTTTCCTGTCTGCGGAACGGAAGCTTTTCTCTTCTAACCGATCTCGAGTTGCTCCATCTGCCTGACGTGAAAGCTTTTAATTTTCATAGTTCCGTCTTTCTTTGGTTTTCCCCTTGAATAAAGCGATTGAAGGGTAGCGTTGAGTAATTAATCTCATGCGGGTGTGACTCTATGAGGTGCTTTTTGGTGGTTCTTCAGTCTTTTTGAGCTGGAAGTGTCGTTTTAACCTATGATGCAGCATTTTGGCATACCCTCCTTGAGAGTGTAAAAAATATTCCAAGGAGTAAAAATTCCATGATCCTATGCAATCGAAGACCGTTATCATGCTTTCGAAGGGCTCAGGCGTCTCAGAATCCTTCGAACACTCGTTTGCACCTCTCGGGGTGATCTAAATACTTTATTTCATTTTTTCCCCCAGCGAGTGACGCCAGTGGTAGACGCCCGCTCGAGAGCATTTACGAAACGCGAAACGCGAAATGCAACAATCCCTCACAGTGTGAGTAGTATTCGAATGGGGGATTTTTTTTTAGATACACGAGATCCTTTGAAACACAGAAATGGCAGAAATCTGGTTCCCTCTCAGTTTTCGGAACTGTTAAGTGTCCGTGCGTGAAGGTCTTCGATGTGCGTGGTCGTTTCCGGCACCCGATTTCCGAAATAGCCATTCAGAAAATCCTTGAGGTCTTCCTCGTTCCTCCCGATAGACTCTTTCGGCGAATCCCCGCTTCAACGCCTTTTCCGAACAGTTACTCCCCGACCTGCTCTTATCATTTTCCTGATGCATTTAAAGCATTGAGTTCTTTGCAGCTGTCGTCAAAGAAATCAATCGGGTAGGAGGACACAGCTTGGCGAAATGCAAAATGCAAAAAATCTGTCGCTATCGGCGACAGGCTTTCATCAAGGTCAGATCAGATGGGAATATATCCTTTTTCCCTAGTCTTTTCTCAGCCATATTTCGGCTCGACCCGAATGCAAAGTGCAATATAGAAAGTGTGAGGAAAATGTACCTGGATGAGATGACCGGATACAGGCGCACTGGACGAACGTGAGGAATTGATGTTGGAGGCAGAATGGAGAGCAGAAGCCTTGTATATATAATTCTGGGACAGGAGGGGTGATCCCGCGTCTTTATAAAGGAATCGAATGCGCCCGTCGATGACGTCACTGTCCGAGTGGGCGGGGCCCGCGCACCACGCCGAATCTCTTGTCTTTCAAGACTGTTCTCACGCTCTCGTTCCCCGTTCGCGATGGTGTTGAGAGGGGCGCTGCGACGCACGTTTCGCACGCAATGTTTTGGGTTGGTTCCGGGAAGAAAATGAAAGACGCAGAGATTGGGTGTGGGAAAAATAAGCGCTGTTACATAAAAATATACGGGGGAGGGGGAAGGTTGGATGCAATAGCCAGGAAAAACTGGTCCGGGGTCTTCATTCATCGAGGACGATGGCCAGCTTCTCGTTTCCCGATGTAGTGTATGTTTTCTGTTCTCCCGGCGCGTATCGCAACCACCCGTGAGTGAGTACACTATGTTACGCCAGCAAGCAGGAGCACGCCCTTACGAAAATGTCTTATAGGATTCCTATATATTCCTAAAGGAATATATAGGAATCCTATAGGAATCCTATAGGAACCTAAAGGAATCCTATAGGATCCTGTATGCCCCTAGTTTCCTATAAGAAATAACTATAGGTTTCCTATAGGACATTTCTGTAAGGGCGAGTAGCTAAAGATAGACACGGAAAGAAAGCAGGGCACTGTCATCGAATTCTTGGAGAAAATGTCAGGGATGGACGTCGTTTGTCGGCTTCGGTCGGTATCCGTTCGAACCGGGGGATGTCAGATCCCCACGGTCCCACGCTGATGACCTTCAATGAAGGAAGAGGGAAGAAGGGACTGGAGGTCGGTTTCAAGACGGCCTCTTAATGCATGGGCGTCTCACTGAAAAGGAACAAGTAGATTTGGCCTGTTCCTCGCCTCTGATGGGCTTAATCTAAATTTAAACTTTTTTCGGGGAACGTAAAAAGCAGCCAAAGGAGTCTGTTGCTCCCCACCTCAGTACCGAATTACCGCTTTTAGATTAGATTACCGCTAAACTTAAGAGGGGACCGGTGGGAATAAAACTGGAATCGCCCATCAGAATGGGAGGAGTGGACATCTATAAACTACGGAACAGCCGAAGGGGGAAAGGGGGGGAGGATTCAGGGATTTCACATCTCTTGAGACTTCGGAGATATCAGGTGAAAGAGGGTAAATACACATAAGGCAGTGGATTGAGGTGAAAACCATTCAGGTCATATTACACAAATATTCTCAGCCATTCGTGTGCACTGATTTTGGACTCGGATATGGAATCGAACAAACATTAATGAGAGTACTCCCCCTTCATTTCACCATCTAAGCAGCATTTAGACTGGGTCGTATCTATCTAAAGGTATTCCTCCCTTTGGACGAAGTTTTAGCACGAGTCTGGGCGAGATATTTTTGCTTTTTGTCTGCCGTCTGTCGTCTGATCAGATTAAGTTTAGAACAAGTTTAGATTTATATTAAGTTTAGAAGAGGCGAAAAACGGGCCACCATTATTTATTTTTGACTCATGCATATATTTATTTTCGACTCCAACCTTTGGAAGAACCAGTTATCATTCCCCCTTGCCCTCAGGCTTGACCACGAACAAGCAGCTGCTCCTTTCGACCTTTCGACCTGACACTCCTTTACTTATCTTCTTTTCTCATCACAGGTTTGAACGAAACGGTGAGTTAGCCATGCTGCGAGGCACCGTGTACCTGCGGGTGCAGGTACTGCAGCATGGACCCAGCCTGCAACTGTCACTTGCAAAGTTGTCCCGGCGTCGCTGCAACTTATGCCCCCACCGATACACGGTGATTTGTGGCTAGGCTAACTCACCGTATACCGGCACACCGACACACCGCGTCCGTCACTGGCACGTTCTCTAAAGACCCCATCACACGCTTTGATTTTGCTCATATATGACTGCTCCCGTATGAGCTATGAGCTTGTGTAATCAGGGTCTATGAGTTGGTATCCTTCTCATGTGTGAGTCTATGAGCTGCCCATGGGCCCTGATTACACGAGCTCTTATGGGAGCAGTCATATACCGGTATGAGCAAAATCATAGCTTGTGATGGGGCCGTAGGACCTCGAAGCCGGCGCGCTTTCTTTTCGTGTCCATCCTGGGTTACTATACTCTTACGTTGCTCCTGCTTGTTGACGCAATAGACAATGGCTTCTCTCGTGGGTGGCAGTAATGCATCCCTGGAGATCGTATATTCTATTCCAGAACAACAAAAAAAACGAGTGTTCCGCAGAGTCTCTTAGCGATATTTTTTCCCTTTCGTTGCACGAAATTCCGAGCCGCGATCACGACGAATTCGATATCACTGAAAAGCTCTTTTCCTCTTCTTCGATTTCGTGTATAATTCACGAGAACTTTTGCGGGAGGTTTGGTAGGGCGATAAAGGGAAGACGGAAAGATCCGCCCCATCCGCTCCCTTTTTTTGGAATAGAGGATAAAAGCGATGTATAAATGGAATCTTGCTTCAGTTGAGCTTAAGTTTCAGTAACATGTTGAGTGGGAAGTTCTCAGCCAATCTTTTCTACGCTTGGGAATATTTTTTTTCTCGCAAAATTGCACATTGGGATCTTGATCGAGTTTTTTTCAATTTTTTTATTATTGAAATCTGTACGAAATATTGCGGGTAGTTTTGATACATGAATGAATGGACAAGAAACTAATATGCACTTTAGAGACTAACCCTGAATGGGGTTTGGTGAGAAAGTTAAAAAAATCTCAGTAGTTCTTGATATAATAATGCACTGTACAGTAGTTGCCATCACTCTCCTCCACTTCCTTCTTCAAATACACCATTCGAATAAAAAACGAGCTTAAGTGGATATTGTCCTCTCTTTCCTTGTTCATTGCTCGAAATTCCTTGCACTGATCACGACGAATTACTTACGGTTGGAAGGTCTCTCAGTTCCCCTTCATTTAGGATGTAATACATGGCGACTTGTAGGAGTTGGAAGGGTGGTCGAAGAAAGATGGAAGGGATCGTTCCGTACCCTCTACCGCTGTTTTTTTTTTTCTTGGAATGGAGTATTGTAGCAATTTTCTACTTCATCCAAGTTCTGCCTTCTTCCATCAGCTTTACCTGACATTTTAATGCAGTATCACTTGTAGTTTCCAAAACACCGCCGCTCAAATTACGCGAAACAAGTTAAACTTGGTCCTGTCTACACAGCACAGTGAACAGCTGATCATGTTGGCTGAGTCATGGCACAGTTGGTCCCCTAAATACGAATTTATCTTGCCCGAGTTCGACCAATCGTCCAATAGATGTCAGGATGACCGCAGTTTATAGTCCACCCGACCATGTGGAAATGTTGGTGCTCTCCATTGAAAGAATAAGGACCGGCTTCTCTTTATTTTTGCACTCGCCACGCATTGCAATTATCATTAAGAATCTCCGAGTGAATGATCTATGAAATATTCATTCGATTTACTTTTAGAACGTATTGCCTCCTTCATTGGGAACTTTTCACTTCCTTCTCGGGTAAATCAAATTAATGAAGTCCGCCATAAAGGGCAAGATGCACTGTGCGAGTACTCGCACAGTATGGGTTAAGACTTGAATGCATTTGAAGAGTACTTGCGAAGTGTATCTTTGCCTTGAGATCCGGAAAAGTACCGAGTCACTTTTTTCATAACTCCGCATTAAAGCTTCAACGCCTCACCAGTAGAATGCAACAGAATGAAGGTAAATTTGTGACTACCCAACTCGTTTCGTCACTGAGAAAAAAGATCAAATTTCATATTAACTTTTACCTCTGTATAGAGATTTGCTATAAATCTACCGTCTGTAGCCAACCCTTATTTTTAAAGATAACAATGCTTGGAAAACCAATTAGTAAAGTAATTTACATCTCTATTATTAGGAATGAACTATTGATTGAATGACGTCTTCAGTCCTTTTCCCAACAAAAAGTACGTAAGTATTGATATTACAAGTATTTGGCCAGCCCTGAGGGGCATCACCGTGGCTTCAATTATTACCAGCTTTGAACTCAGACTGAGACCTTTTTTATTTGGTGTTTACTCAACGTACTGTTGAGTCATCTCTCGCATATTTTGACTTAGGAAAAATGCTCTCATACTCTGCCCGGCCACTTTACTAGGACATCTGCCTAGCAGCAGGTTGGACCTCATTTACTCAACGGCATGCACTCAACTGGGGCAATAAAGTCGGGAGAGTTCTGTGGCAATGAATTCAAGTTCGTGCCACGAATTCTCTATTGGATTGAGATCCAAGGGTTTTGCTGACCTTGGAAGATGTCTCAAGTCTCCCTGATGTTCTTCAAACCACGCAAGGACACTTCGCGCTGAATCGTCGCATCATCGTACAGTAAGGAGCCATCACCACCGAGATACATCATCGTGGGGTGTGACCGATTGCAACGTAATTTAAATGCACCCTAGCGCTTATTTTTAAGTCCGCGATGACAAAGAGACCCAGGGCATGGCATGAAGATTCCTGCCACCATTACGCCGCCTCCAGCGGCCTGGGCAATTGACACTACACACCGCCGGTCGAGGGTTTCGTGCCGTTTTCATGCGAAATCAGAGGTATCCGCGACGGTATCAGGTGTTGGTAGTCCATTCGTCGCAACGTTCGTCGTGCGACGCTGGTAGACACGGCCCAGGACTGCCCGTTATCGAATGAATCCGTCAGCTGTAAAATCGTCTAACGCCGGTTCGACTTCACCAGTTTTTCCAACATTCGTCGTCCTCTCTCCGTGAAGAAGTGTTTGCGACGACGGTTTTGCCTCGCGGCCGACATCTCAGTGTCGTGCTGCCATTGCTGATGCGCTCGAACGACGGTTGTCATTGTGTGGCTTAGCAGAGTGACCGTTTATGCTACCGTGGCACCGACTGGACGCGAACCCACAATCGTGCCTCTTTCGAAAGGCGATGTATCCTTGCCTTGACCCATCGTGATGAAAACCAATTTGAACTGGCCATGGAAGCTTCTTTTGGCAAAGGTTTTCTTGCTGCATTGCCTGTCAGGTAGAATGGTACTGTC